TCAAAACAGCTGGTTTCTTTTTATAAGGTACATAAAACCTTCAGGCAAATATTATCTGCATTGTCTCCCTATTTATTGCTATCTGAGCTTACATAAAGATACATATAAACAGGTGAGTTCACTACAATGTACGAACAATTTTTTTTTTTTTTTGGGGAAGGAAAGGGACTTTAATGAGAAACCAAAATACAGAGAGCCAAAGTGCAAAATTGTACGAACAATTTTTGTTCTTATTAACTGAGTTCAAGTGATAGCTCAATTAACCTGGAGTTACTTCCACCCCAAGCTGTTACCAAACTGAGAAAATGAAAATCTTCCTCCTTAAACTAGGAGCCTCACAAATATGAGAGATTTCTATACACAGAAATTTTCTATTGTGGCTGGGGGGTGCCTGGTAGGCATCCTGCCTTAAGGCAGGTGGTGGATTTTTTATAGTTTTTCTAGGGTTAACCTCCAGCCTTAGACTTCTTTACTAGGAAGGGTCACTCAGAAAAGTTGAAACACAAATATACCAAATCACACTCTGAGGTTCGCTCTACTGAGATACACATCCTGACTGGAGTTCACAGAAGAAAACTTTTAGTCACCGTCATTACATTGATAAAAATAGCACATTAAAGTGTGCTTAAATCAACTACCTTTCTTCCAGATAAGACTCAAAAAATTTAAAAAATAAAAAGGGTGAGTGAAAAGAACCCACAGAATGGAAGAAAATACTTGCAAATCGTGTATCCGACAAAACACTTGGTATCTAGAATATATAAGGAACTCTTACAACCCAGTAATAAAAAACCAAATAACCCAATTAAAATTGGACAAAGGATCAAAATAGACTTTTCTCCAAAAAAATATACGAATGGCTAATAAGCATATGAAAAGATGTTTGGTATCATTAGCCATTAGGGAAATGCAAATCAAAACTATAGCACTTCCTGCCCATAGGATAGCTTTTATCAAAAAAACAGATAATAACAAGCACTGGAAAGGATGTGGAGAAATTGGAACCTTCATGTATCAGTGAGGATGCAGAATGGTGCAGCCACTTTGGAAAACAGTTTGGCAGTCTTCAAAGGTTAAACATGGGGGCGCCTGGGTGGCTCAGTTGGTTAAGCATCTGCCTTCAGCTCCAGTCATGATCCCAGGTCCTGGGGGGTGGTGTCTGCTCAGCAGGAAGTCTGCTTCTCCCTCTCCCTCTGTCCCCCGCCCATGCTCTCTCTTGCTATCTCTGTCTCTCAAATAAATAAGTAAATAAAATCTTAAAAAACAAACAAACAAAAAGGTTAAACATGAGTTACCCTGTGACCCAGCAATTCCATTCCTGGGTATACAACCAAGAGAAATGAAAACAGATGTCCACACAAGCTTGCACACAAATGTGTATAGCATCACTACTCACAATAGGAAAAAGTAGAAAAAACCCCCAAATGTCCATTAACTGATAAATGGATAGACAAAAGTGCAGTATATCCATTCATGGAATAGTATTCAGCCACAAAATGGATGAAGTACTGATAAATCCTACAAGAGTGAACCTTGAAAACTCACTGAGCCCTTTTGAGTATCACTTGTCCTTTCACTCAGAGCTTAATAAAAACCGGTGTCTCATTCAACACAGAGCAGTGACTATTTGGCCTTTTCAGTTCAAATTACACAATTTATTTGTCTCAAAAAAAATTCTCCTGGAGACATACTTAAGAATTTAAAACAGATCAACATGAATCCCATCTCCAGATATAAATGAAGACAGTACCTAAATATGTCTTTTACACGATTTCACATGTAAAAAATACACTAGTCATTTACAAAGGCCAAAAGCGGTCCTAATATTTTAGTGGAGCCCATCTGTAAAGCACTTTGAGAGCCTTAAGGAGCAGAAGGAAACTGATGAGATTATAACTGCATTCTACCTTGAGTACGGTAATTAATTTGGGGACAGGCCCCAAATGAAAAATTTCCTATAATGGTACCATGAAGCACTTGCCTATGGTCACACAAACCCTGTTACCTTTGAGGAGCATTACCTCCTCTTCCACTTTAAAAAATTTCTGATGCTCCCTTTCTTAACCAAAGCCACCTAGGTCACACCCATTTTTGAGTCAACATTTCATACTAAATATTATTATTATTTTTAAACGGCGATTATCCTTATATCACCCAAACAAAGCCCTCCTATCACAAGAATTAGCCCGAGACCCACATTAAGCTTACAAAACATGCAGGTGAAATTGAACTAAAGCTGAATGTTACTGGACCCTCCCTGTTTGAGTCGTACATTTAAAAACAATTAATACACACCCAGATTCCAACACAATGCAGCAAATGCAAAAATAAATAAACAGAATACACATAAAACCAAATTAGGTTTGTTTATTGTTGAATCCTTTTACTACTGAGGAGGCAGGGTGACGGGAGGAAGTCCAGATGCCACACCTCCAGTTCTTCAGTGCCAGGTTTCCAAGCACTTAAAATGTCAGAAACAACAGATTCACAAGATAATGTTAAAATAAATGTATTTTAATTCAGCACTAGCCTGATACTTTTCGAATGAGGAGCTAAACGCAACAAAATCAGAAAAAAATCACCTTCTGAAAAGTTCAAATAGAAAAGATCTTCTGCAACGTAGTTTTCTACTCTGTGTGTGAAACCTTTCTTGTTATGACTCACTGAAAATTAAATATGCAAAACTCCAAGCTGAGCTTAGTTTTGCCTGTGCACAGAGACCTTTTTACTCTCATTCTTCGAAAACCTCATTTTGGATCTTGCTGCCAACACCAAAGAGAGGAAAGCCGGCCAACAATTCCAAATATAACATGCGGAGGCAAATGCTACAGAAATCTGTCTGACGGGAAGCAACCATGCTGAGGTCTGCTGAGGTAGATGCACTTCTCAATCAGACCGTCTTGGTCCCTCAGTCCGTGTGGAGCAAAATGCCATGAGAGAGCAATCAAAGAAAAACATCCAGTTTCCAGTCGGCCTCATTAGCGATGGCCTATGGTGTTCACTTTATCAGTGAGAACAATTCAAACCATTTCAAACAGAAAGATGGGTCAGTGGCAACCAGAGCTCCACCAGTTACTCTAACTTTTTTTAAACCAATTTTTAGGGACCAATCCACAGAGACCAGTATTTGCAGAAAGTTCAACGAATGGCGTGACAATTGTGATAGGGGTGGGTCAGGTTCACCAGAAAACACTTAAAAACATATCTCTTTCCAGTTCTCCTGGGGCAGGGTTAGTAACCCCTACTACCACTTTGAATAACTGATAAAGCAGTTAAAATTAGATAAAATGATTACACTATTACTTAAAAAAAAATCACCTCCTTAAGTTTAATTCTTCAGCGAGGTCTTGGCACTGAGCACAGGACAATTCATTCCCTCACCCAAAGGATCATTACAGGGAACCCAGAAATAGGGCTCCCAGTCTAATTGGGAAAAGAGAACGGTTCCTCATACAGAGCACTGGCCCCTGAGAAAAGACAAGACAATTAAACAGTTTATCTGACCAGTCATTTCCTACGGTAGTTTATCTTAGAAAAATCCCCTGTGGTTATGACTATGTCACTAAGCCCAGGAGATAAAGTTTGCCTAGAATCGCTTCTGGAACATTTTATTAGATCTCGTTCACTGTGAGGCAAGCTGGCAAGGAACACTAGAGGCTGAAAAAGGACTTGTCTTCGAGAACTTTGAATGAAGACCCGCAGCAGCACTACAATTACTATCAACAGGGTTTGCAAAACCTCCATCTTCACTCTTGTACATTCTGTACATAAGGAAAATTATCATTTCTATGCTTATCTAAATACAGCTGACCCTTGGAAAACATGCATTTGAACTGCAGGTCCTCTTCTATGCGGACTTTCTATAGTATGGTACTGTAAGTGTATCTGTTCTCTTTGTAATTTCCTTAACATTTTCTTTTCTCTAGCTTATGTTGTTATAATACAGTGTATAATACATATAACATGCAAAATATGTGTTAATTGACTGTTTATATTACTGGTAAAGCTTCTGGTCAATTGTAGGCTATTAGTAGTTAAGTTTTTGAAGAATCCGAAGTTATGTAATTTTTGGCTGCATGGAGGTCGGTGTCCCTAAGCCCCCAGCATTGTTCAAGGGTCAACTGTAATCCAGTCTTAGCCAGTTCAAAAGGGAAGCAAGAGAAATACAGCCACACCTAATTGCACTCCCACATGGCACAAGTAATCAGTAATGGCATGAATTAAAGCCAGCACACTCAGGAATCAAAACTGTCTGAGGCTGTCAACTGCTTGACCTGACTACTCTGGTAGAGATGGTAATAAAGTACTTAACTTGTGCTGTAAAGAATGTGGAATGGGAGGCAGGAAAGTGGGATAAGCCACACTTGAAAGAAGGCTTCCTGCCTTTGTACCAATATCCAGAATGTTTTGTAATTTATATAACAACTCAGATAAGCCAATGGTACCTTCAGTACTGGCATCTTCAAAGAGGGAACTGGAGATGTAAAACAAGCCCTGCCTCACTTACTAGGATTCTCAAATCTCTTGATTACCAGTTCCCATTCATGGTCTTAAAAAAAGAAAGAAAAAAAAAAGTATTCAATGAAATGCACAGTCTGGGCAAGTCTGAGTCTCACCAACAGCTACAAGCACCTCCCCCTCTCCTAGCTGAAGTTGGAACTGTTAATTGTTACAACTTGACAAGACTCACACTCATCTAATTAGAAGATCCAGAGGTTAGGTTTTAGAGTTTGAAGCCCAAACTCAGGCAAAACAGCACACTTTTTCCACACCTGAAGTTTCTAATAAACAATCTCAGCTTTACTAAACACAGGAGGCTAACGATAATAAATGAGCTTATAAAATTCTCAATACGGAGGTCACCATTTTTGGTTAACTAACCCTAGCTTCATCCTAGAGGTGAAACACCCACACTTTAAATCAAGCCTACAATTCAGTCCGAGTATATGTATCAAACAAACACAATAAAAAATGTAAGCAACAGGGAAAAAACTGATAGGCAACATAACATATCCAGGTACAAATCTCTTCCTTGCTCAAGAACAGCATGGGGAAACTTGACCAGAGATATTTTCTCCAAGTGGATTACACCTTACAGGAAGCAAAGGCTAAAAACCACAGACCCTTCCTGCTGGTATTAGTCACTTCTTAATAAAAAATTTAAAACCAGCAACAAAGCTTCCTCCAGGATAACCATTTTTGTCCCTGCAACATTACAAGCCCAGATGGGGTGCCCTCCTGGGCAAAAGTATCTGGGGAATGGTAATGGGAGCTTCCTACATAACTTCTGACCACAAACTTAATTTGCCCAGTATCAGTCATCTGTCTAATAAGTGTTCCAAAACCTGCAATTAGTACAAATATACAGTAGGCACTAGCCCACAAACCGAGAGACGGAATGTGAACGGAACAGTGTAGAGAGCTTAAGGAAAACCTCACTTTTTCTTTTTTAAACAGATGACTTAAAAAAAAAGGCAACATCAAAAACGGGTGGGAACAACAGAAGCCCCCTCTTTCCCGCTCTCACAAACGCCTGCTTCAGTCAACTGTTGCTGAACAACAGAACAAGACCCGTCAGAACACGACACAACCTGGGTTCCCTGCGCAGATGTGGGATTTTTGTGGAGGGCAGAGATGGTTTCTCCAGGCAGAAGCTTGAGTTTAAACTCTTCCTGGCCGGATTGTTCTGGGCTGAGCTGCTGAGGAGGATCACGCAGCGGGCGATCAACCCAGGTCCCTCCCTCTCTCTCGGGTCTCTCCCCTCCTCTCGCGTTCAGTAAGGGGAGGGGGGGCGGTGGAGGGAAGCGCACAGCTTTCCAGCTCTCTGCTCCTTAAAAATGCCCTCGCGGAGCTAACCGCACACAATCCTGCCCCGGCAGCTAAGAATTTTGCCGCGAAGGCTCGCTGATCCGGAGCGGAGAAGTGAAATCGGCGCCCAAGAGCAATTTTAATTGTCTAACCCGGCCCGATTTCCTAAGAGGCGGCAGCGCGGGGAGGGGAGGGAGAGAGGGAGGGAGCTCCGAGAGGCAACAGGGGGCAAGCGGAGCCAGAGAAAGGGGACCAAAGCGGCGAGATCCTAGCCCGGGTCCCCGAGGAGCTTCTGCAGAAAGGACTCCGAGCCTCTACCCCCACCGTTCCCCGGGAGACGTTTGCAAATCATATATGTAGCCAAAATGGCGCTGAGAATAAAAATATAATTTAAAGGCAGGTCGCCATATTGTAAACAGAGAAGCAGAGAAGAGGCGGACTCGGGAGACACCCTCCATGATTTCTTCCACAGCCGCGAGCGCACGGGTGCCCGGCCCCCCGCATCTGGACCAGGCCAACTCCGGCGGCCGAGGGCTCCGCGCACCCGCCCGCAGGAGAGCCCAGCCCGGCAGGAGCCCGAGGGCGGCGGGCGCGCGGGCAGGCGAGCGGCACAGGGCCCGGAGCTCCTCCCCTTCCTCCCCCGCCACCGCCGGCCGTGCCCTGCCTGCTCTATCCCGGCTACCCAGAGCCTTCCAATCCCAGATGGGGCTCTCCTCACTCGTCCCAACCCCCACCTCGGGGCCCGGACCCACTGCTGCTCCTCCCCCCCAAACGGCCAGATCCCGGCAGACACCTGGGGGCGGGGAGGCGCTCGCCCCAGCCGCTGCAGAAAGTCAGCTAGCGGCTGCAAGAGCCCGTTATTTCGGCAGCCAGGGGGGTAGGCCGGGTGAAGGAATGTGCCGAGAAGGGTCCGCCAAGGAGCTCCAAAGGGGTCCCCAGACCTTACCAGCACTGGAGGTGGAAGGCGGCCGGGCAGTGGTCACAGCACAGGAGATCCCCACCTTCTTTGCAGCTATCGCAGCTGTCGTGGTTGGTGGCCCTGCCGCTTCTCCGGGGCTCTTTTTCAGGCTTACGACTCCGCTTTTCTGCCTCGTCCGTCTTGGGGGGAGCCAGCAGAGCTTGGATTTGCTGCACACACATACAAACGGCGTGTGTGCACACTCGGAGCTCCCGGGCGGTCCGTCGCCCCCCCTGCAAGGCTTCTCCGTCACCCACCCCTCTCCCCCCTTTTGTCCTTCTTCCTCCCATCCAAGCTGCTCCCAGAACCTCTCAGCCCCCGGAACCGGGGGGAGCCCACCCTAACAGCGTTCCTGCAGCACAACAAGGAGAACAGCTTCTTCCAAATGGGGAGGATCAGGGTAGGGGGATGGGGAGAGGGTGCGCGGTTCCCTTCTCGCCACTTCCTTGTATGGACAGTGGGGGACTCCAAAGCCAGGCTCTGGAGAGGCCTGAAACCCGGTACCCGGACGTGCTGGGGGAAGCACAAAGGGGCCGACAAGAAGGGGGTGGGGAGGCCCGCCGGTGCAACGACATGGAGTGGGTTGGTGCCTCGGGAGAGCGAATCCAGGGCGGCGGGAAGGTGAAACTGCTGCAAACGTCCTCGGAGGCTGAGCTCAGCCCCTCGAATTGCAAAGACGGGAGGGAGGGTCTGGGTGAGGAAGAAGCCCCCCCCTCCCCCAGCCCTTTTGCGCTGTGAGCTCAGGACCGGCTTTGTAGGACGGAGGGCGGAGGTTCCCTCCCGGCGCTGGGGGAAGGGGATGAGGAGGGCCACTCTTACCTCCATCAGCCCCCCCGACGTGTCCAAGTCGTACACGATCGTCTTGGTCTCCATTTTCTCCCACATTCATCCACCTCCCGGGCTGGGCGCTCTC